GGTATCTAGGGGAGGTCTTAGGGGAGGATCAATAAAATATTCATCAACTTTATGCTGATGTATCAAAGTGACATTTATTTTCTTAACTTCATCTGTCCTTGGGCAGTTGGCAAATGGCACTAATTAGATTTCTGCTATCTACACCTCTGAGCAGGGTGACTTAAGTTATTTACCCTCTGGTTGAGGAGAAGTGCAAATCCTTTACTCTTAATTATCCTTCGTTTAGGAAAGATAGGATTTAACTATCTGTCTCGGTTTCCCTTTTCTGCTTGTCCTAGCTTACTAGCCTATCCCAAAGAGTCATAACACTTCACTATGAACACTTTCCACAGCAGGTAAAATAAATCAGTCTTTCTATTCATTTATAACACAAGTACCAGGGAAACATATTATTATTTTCATTAAATGGAAACTTAAAGTCAGGCACTCAAATTTACATTTTGTTAGTCATGAACCCATCATCAAATCAGACCAGGAACAGATTTTTGGAGCCAAAGTAAATGGAAAATAAAGATTATTTTTCATGAGAAAGTTTCTGAATGCCACTTTTATTAATGTATATAATTCCCTTCAGTGGTCTGTTAATCACCACAGTCATCACTTCTGCAGGATCCTTCACAAATCTTTTACCAAGTGCTTCTTTCACCATCCCTCCCTCTTTCCTTCCCTCCCCCTCTCTCTTTCCGACTATGATACCATTTTCAGACATTCTAAAGGGGTTAATGTGTGGGCTCAATAGCAGGCTGCAGAGTCCTCATACTGGAGTTGAAAATTATTTGTTTAAGACTCTTTACTAACAGATAATTCATTGGGCTGAAAACACAAGCTTTGCTATTAATGTGTCAGATCCATAGTATTTTCTCATGTTCTGCATTGTCTTGCTAATGACTATGGCAAGGGAAAGGGAAACTATGGCTGAGTGGATCTGTGAGGGGGACACTGATTTCAGAAGCCAAGCAGGCCCCCAAATATCACCTGCTTTTCCAAAAACCTGCTTCAATTAATTTATCTCATCCTTTCTTGATTTTGTTAATAAATAAAGCTATTTATTGGAACCAAGATTTTCATAAGTATATTAGAAGTTGTGTAACATAGACTTGCATTTCAACTATTCATTTTTTTTTAATTGTCAAAGAATTCCTCTCAATATTACACTCTGGATTTCATTCCAATTATAAGTTCACATTAACAATAACCTTCCATTAAAAAATCCTGCATAATTTTTGTCTGTGTCATTTTTGGTTTAAGTCAATTAAAATATATATTGAAACATAATAAAACTACCTACCCGATAAAAGACTGCTTCAGAGCTTTTTTTCTGAAAAATTGTGAGAATTTTACTGTGCCCCCATTCAAATGAAGAATACTTTGCATATTACTTTGGGTAATATCATCTGTATCAAATGTTTTTCATTTCAATATTTTCATTTCTTATCAACTAAGCATGAGAAGATGATAATGTGCTTTCCACAATTTTTGAATAAATAACTGCTTTCAGCAAACAACTTGTTTTTTTACCATGTAGATTATTTTTTTTTAATTAAATCTTTATTGTTCAGGTTACATTTGTTCCTCTTTTTTTCCCCCCCATAACTCCCCTCCTCCCAGTTCCTTGAAGAGTCTCTCCTCAGCCAGCCTTCCTGTGGTTCTGGGTGATGTCCGTTCCGTCTTTTAGTTGTATTTTTGAATGGGTTATTTGCGGCAGCAGTCTGCGGTGTTTACCTATGCCGCCATCTTGGTCTCTCCCTGTAGATTATTTTTTTAGGACTGGAACCAAGTATTATTTTATATTCTGATTCTCTTCAAGATTTTTTATTTGAGTTGTAAATTGCACGTGTTGTTTTAGGTAGCACATGTTTATTTTTGTCGAAAGAACATGTCCTATTTTTGAGGAAGGGAAAAAAACTTGTAAGACATCAAATGTTTCTTGCAAAACAATTTGATGAAATAAATGTAAATGAATCAGATCCATGTGAATTGTATTTCAATTAAAATGAATGGGTCTAAAAATGAAGGGAGTAAAATGCTTGAGGGAAAGAGTGTAGCAAGTCAGGAAGTGACATTTGTTTTGTTTTCATCAGATTTGGAGTCTTGAAAAATAGCCTAGTACTCCAAATTTAACTTCATTAAGAATCTCCCTTAAGCCTAATGAAGTTCAGAATGGGATAATAATATGAAAATTCATTTTATAGCTTTATCTGGCTCATTTATAATAATATAGGCATCAGGTATTGCCACTGTGCGGTTCTTCAAAAGCATTCTCAATTTAAAGTTAGTGGCTTTTCTATTTTTTATTTTCTTTTGAGGGTAAACAGTACATTGTAATGAAGCTAAAAGTACGTTGTTTTTTCATAGAACCACATGTAAAGTTTTCAGACTCACAGCAACTTCGTATTTCTTTCCTCTAACTGAAGATGATCCAATCTAAATGAAAAACATGTGGGAGTTTCATACACAAAGTGTATACACACATGAGTAGGAGTAGTACAGAGGAGAAAAGGCGATGGTAGAAACAGAGAGAATGAAAGAGAATGAGAAGGACAGAGAATGGGGAAAGAAATAAACAATGTATACAGAATTAGGCCATCAAACCTCATTTCATAAAGCACTCAGATCACACTCATTATTTGAATCACAAAAATTGTATCCCATAGTTTTGTTGTCGGAGGAATCGCTGGGTGGAATTCCCCTGTTGCTAGTGGGAGTGGGGTGGCTCTTACCATATCTTTAGAAAATGAATTTTCTAGGACTCTCCTGGAAGGCTAAATGGTTTTCATTGGCATAGAATTATATTTCTTTTTAAAAATACATTTGTGTTGTTTTTTTAAAATATATTTTTATTGATTTCAGAGAGGAAGGGTGAGAGAGAGAGATAGAGAGATAGAAACATCAATGATGAGAAAGATGATTTGATCGGCTGCCTCCTACACACCACACACTGGGGATTGAGCTCACAACCTGGGCATGTGCCCTTGACCAGAATCGAACCTGGGACCTTTCAGTTCGCAGGCTGACACACTATGCACTGAGCCAAACCGGCTAGGTTGGAATTATATTTCTTGAGTATCAAAGATCCATTGTCCTTAAACCAGTCCTGGAAAATATGTAGCTAGGGCTCCAGCAAAGCCAAAAATAGGGCCAGTGTCCAAGGTTTCCATTCCATGTTGGATCTGGGTTCTTTGTAGCATCAGGTTAATTAAAATTCATTAGTCCATGAGAGCCCTGCTAGCCAGGGGTCAGGAGGGAGCAGCAAGAGAGGGGGCGGTGTCCCTTGTTCAGTAGTTAAGTATTGAGATTTTGCAATGGCAAGGCCTATTCTGGCCACTGGCTTGTTCCCAGGTGTAACTGACAAATAAGCATCTTCCCACATCGCCCAGTCCTTACTGGGCATGCACCTAGTTTTCATTCCTTTCCCCAGCGATCTGTGGGACAGACTAGGAGAATGTTAACTGCAACTTCCTGGCAAAGCTGTATAAATGGCATACCTATATTATCTAGTTTTCCCCTTTCCTGTTAAATAATAATCAGATTATTATAATGGTATCTGTTTTGTATTCATGTCATTTATGCTTGCTTTAAAAACAAATACATTAATCTGAAAATTGGGCGGGGGATGAACTACCAAATAAAAAAAAGACATAAATAAGTCTCGCTGTTAATTGTCAACGTGTCTCAAAATATGAGTAAGTTTGATGTGTGGTATGACATATCAACTCTCAGTCTCTGAAAAGGGGCATTTTAAGTGTTCCAATAACTTCCAAGAGGCAAGGAATATATAACTGTGTAATATGTTTTTGTTTTTTGAGATAATATGACACTGCTTAACTAGTCTTGTAAACACATAACCTGGTAGTGAAGTAGGAATAGAAGTCCTTTCTGTATAAATTAAAGGTGCAGTAGCCTTTAGGGCTATTGTGTATAAGGAGCCTGCTTGTTTGTTTCCTGATAACATGATGATGTGATTGCAGCTTAGCATCTCTCTGACCACTCAGGACACTGCTACTGCTGCTCATCACCTCGCTGGAAGTGCTTCTGCTCCTTGCTGCTCTCTGGCAGGGAGTGTGAGCTGTCACTCTTTTTTAAATATATTTTTATTGATTTCAGAGAGGAAGGGAGAGGGAGAGAGAAATAGAAACATCAATGATGAGAGAGAATCCCTGATTGGCTGCCTCCTGCACGTCTCCTACTGGGGACTGAGCCCGCAACCTGGGCATGTGCCTTTGACCAAAATCGAACCTGGAACCCTTCAGTCCACAGCTTGATACTCTATCCACTGAGCCAAACCAGCTAGGGCATGGCTGTCACTCTTAAAATATGTGTTCCATAATGAGGCAGATGTGTTTTAGGTTCTAGCACAGCCATTTGTTATTTAACCCTCCATTCATCCTAGTCTAGCAGATGAAAGTGAAGTGGCTAAGCTTACTGTTTCTTACACACTTAAAATCAGTGGCTATGTAAGAATCATAACTGTTTCCAAGCTCCCAAAGTCACTCTTAATGGCTCTATGAATCAATGCAAAGTTGTTGGTGTTGGTGATTTTTTAAAGATTTTTTTAGAGAGAGAGAGGAAGAGAGAGGGAGAGAGAGAAACATCAATGTGAGAGGGAAACATTGACAGGCTGCCACCTGCATGCCCCCCACTGGTTATCAAGCCTGCAAACCAAGTACATGCCCTGATGGGGGAATTGAGCCTGTCAACCCTTGGGTGTACCAGATGATACCCTACCAATTGAACCACATTGGCCAGGGGGCAAAGTCTAAATTTTAATCCAAAATTGTGTCAATGAAAATAAATGGTCAACTTTATTTTTTTCACCATCAATAATCAATATTTCTAAGGTTCTCAATTAAGTACATGTCTCTATGTAGGATCTATGCTCAGAACAAAATACAGTGGTAATATTGTGACTTATTTTCCATCATAATTTGCAACAATAACTTTTCATAAGTGTTAAAAGATCTAATCTACTTTGCTTTTGGTGTTTTTCCACTTCCTGACAGGCCTACCCTTGCAGCAGTGATAAGGAATGTGAAGTTGGGAGATACTGCCACAGTCCCCACCAAGGATCTTCAGCCTGCATGGTGTGTCGAAGGAAAAAGAAGCGCTGCCATAGAGATGGCATGTGTTGTCCTGGTAACCGCTGCAATAATGGTAAAGATAGTGTTCAGTGTTGCTGGGCCTTTTTCTTTTCATGTTAGGCTACCTTCTCCTTGGATTCCTGACATGTAAGGAGTCTTTCCAAATAGGCAAGAATTGGAACATAGTTTAGATAAGATTACCTGGATTACCTCTAAAATCTTAGTGTCCCTAGGCTTTGATCACCTTCTGTATTTAATAATCTATGCTGAGTTGGATTTATCCTGTTGAAGAGTTGTGTATAAATAGCTAGTTCTATTCCACTAAGCACATGAGCAAAGACATCCAAAAGAACTAAAGAAAATAATCTGCTATGATTTACCAATGCAATTGTGAGTCTGTCTCCCAATTTCATACGTTTCATACCTTGAATCTTATACTCATTTCCTCTTTTTAAGGCCTTACCTGGTGGCACACTCAGATGGTGATAAAGTGATTGGTTCCTATGAAAGGAGATACAGGAGTCTATTCCTCAGTCATTCCATAAGCATGGCTTCACTCAATCTCAATTAACTTATAGGCACAAATTCAGCAATAATGAAATGAAAAACCATAGACAACATGTGGTAAAAAAAACACTAAATAATTGCAGAAGGTGATCAGAAACATACACTCAGTCACACAAACAACATAATCAGGCTCATATTCTTATACTTGTTCCTTACCTCTGGGCATAGTCCTACTGGAAATGCCTTGGACAGGAGGTAAAGGGAAGAGGACCTCATACCCTAGAGAGGTTTACAGTGTAGATTAGGATTGTACTGGTGATTGAACAAAGGGACATGAGTCCCAAAGATGCATGTCTGGACAGACATTTTTAAAGTATGAATAGGTAATATTAGTTTAATACGTCACTATAGCACTATTCTGAGCCTGCACAAGTATTCACAATAGCTCAGTAAAATGAATTTCTATTTTTTTAAATTTTGTTTTATTGCTTAAAGTATTACAATGAATTTCTACTTTTATTCCTATTTTTGCCCAAGGTCACTTAGTCTTGAAAGAGACAAGATGCCAATCAAATTTGGACTCAGGGCCAAACTATTGAATATTCAGTTTCAATAAGTTGGTAAATGAACAAATGGACAAATGAAGAGATAGATGACAGGTAGGAGGATGGATGGATAGATAGATAGATAGATAGATAGATAGATAGAACAGATGGCTTCATGCCTTACATCAGGAGAACACATGGATTAGAACCACATTGTATAGAATTGAATAAGACTAACTGCTTCATGCCTTACATCAGGAGAATATATGGATAAGAACCACATTGTATAGAATTGAATAAGACTAACTGCTTACCTGACTATCTCCAGGCATCTGCATCCCAGTCACTGAGAGCATCTTAACCCCGCACATCCCAGCTCTGGATGGCACTCGGCACAAAGATCGAAACCATGGCCATTACTCAAACCACGACTTGGGGTGGCAGAATCTAGGAAGACCACACACTAAGATGTCACACATAAAAGGTAGGGATAACTGTAGTTCTATGTTTACTTTTATTGTTTTATAAAAATGTATATAAAATATAGTTAATTGATTCCATTGGTTTTAGAAATATACAAAGAAGATAGTTTAAAGGCAAGATTTTAACTGGGTTTATTAATTCTTAATTTTGAGGATGCTTAGAGCTTCTTAGAGATCTTAAATTATTAGAAAATGTGTGTTACAAGAATTGCAGTAGTCTGATCAACTCTGTCGTTTTCTTAACAACCCTGTCTTTTTACATGAGATTTAGAAGATATTGCCTATGCAAGCATTTGTCACATATCAAAGGATAAAGCATTCTGAAAAATAAATAGGAAAATGTTTGCTTCCAAATGAATAAATCATTATGTTTTTGAATCTTTCTCACCTTTGCAGATTCAGAAATTTTATTTCACTAGACAACCAGCTACCATACAATTCATAAAATAAATTTACCAAGAATAATTGGTTTCTAGTGTGATTATGAATAGCCATAAATCTTCTTAATTGTACCAAAATATTTCAGAAGTTGAAACCCTGATAATTAAATTTGAAAATATGAACCTTATTACCAGTAGTAAAATTTTGAAAGTATGAAACACATCCATTTTTAAAGGAAGCTTTTTGCAAGTCTATTCTGTGGAGCACTACTCTTTCAAGAAATTCTGTGAATAAAAGTGTCCTGTGTTCAAGAGTTTTGTAATAATATATCTCACCATTTTTGGAACTTTATAATAAACACTAGAGGCCAGGCGCACGAAATTTGTGCACACTAGGGTTCTTAGACCTGGCCGCAGATGAGGGCCTATCTGGGCCTTTTGGCTGCCGGCCAGGGCCTTCCTTCATTCTGCACCGCCCCCTGGTGGTCAATGCACGTCAGAGTGAGTGATCGAACTCCTGGTCTCCTGGTTGAACTCCCGATGGGACACTTTGCATATTAGCCTTTTATATATATAGATTGCTCTATTGAAGGTTCTGAGAAGTCCAGCAATGAGAAAAACTGATTAACTTCTTAAAATACTGTATTTCCCCAACTTGCTTGAACACAAAAACTCTTTCCCCACATTCTCATGTTCTGCAGAGAGAGTATTATATTGGATACTGACCTATTAGTCTGACCTGGAATACAAATAGTCATGTGGATAGGACTAGAGATTGACAATTCTTCTTTAATTATCCTTTGTCTACACTCCTAAAGGCCTAAGTCCTTTACCCATATCTCCTATTACTACTCCACCAAATTCACATGCAATTGTTAATACATGAGTATTTCTCTTTACTCAAAGATGCCTGTCATTGTGTACTTTCAAATTTGCTAAGTATTTATATATATTTATATGTGTAATTTTATGATGGGTAGAAGGAAGAAACCTTATGCTGATGGCTAGTGAGTTGTGTTCACATTACACAGTGGGACTGGTTACATTTGGGATGACAGAAAACCCTTTTGACCAGGATTCTCACACTATGGCCTAGGAACCAAATCTGTCCTGCTGCCTGTTTTTGTAAATAATCTTTTACTGTGTCACAGACTTGCTCATTCGTTTAGGCATTATCAATGGCTGTTTTTGTAAGACAGCAGTAGAATTGAGGAGCTATGATACATATGATCTAAAAAACCAACTTTATTTCCAATCTGTATGTAACAGAGAAGTTTGCTGACCCCTTCTTTATACAGGTTACACATCAACCCAACTGTGATGTTTGGAGGCTCTTTGCTGACTTAATCATTTTTTTTCTGAATTAAATACCCAGATTTGTGTTTCCACGTGTTTTGTGTGTGTGTGTTTGATTTTTCTTTTTTGAGAGAGAGAGAGAGAGAGAGGCATCAATGTGTGAGAGTGAAACATAGATCAGCTGCTTCCTCCACACCCCCTACCAGGGATTGAGCCTGCAACCCAGGCATGTGCCTTGACCAGGAATCAAACCGACAACCTTTTGGTGCACAGGATGATGCCCAGCCAACTGAGCTATAACAGCCAAAGCTCCACATGATTTTTTTTAAATGTATTTTATTGACTTTTTACAGAGAGGAAGGGAGAGGGATAGAGAGTTAGAAACATCGTTGAGAGAGAAACATCGATCAGCTGCCTCCTGCACACCCCTTACTGGGGATGTGCCCACAACCAAGGTACATGCCCTTGACCAGAATCGAACCTGGGACCCTTCAATCCACAGGCCGACGCTCTATCCACTGAGCCAAACTGGTCAGGGCTCCACATGATTTTTATGATGACTTCGTGGTTGACCCTGGGGCTTTCTGCCCTTTCTCTGTATCACAACTCTTTCTAGACTGCATTTCCTAGGCTCCCTGTCAGTGGCTCCTGGCCACACGGGTTTTGCTGTGGTGGGACACTGAGAGGAAGAGGAAAGAAAAAGCCAACATGTTCTCCCTGCCTCCAGTAGTGCTTCTGGCAGAGCTGTATCTCCTTGGGGTTTTAGTCCCACCAGTTGGGCCTGATGAATTCTCATCCCAGCTAGTGATCCCGGCCCTCTGTTCTGCCATCCTTTGCTCCTCTGGATTCTCCAGCCTGAATGCGGTAGTGGCTTCCTGCTGTGTTGCTTTAGCATCCTCTGGTACTTCTTAGCCCTGCCACTACCCATGTGACCAGTTCCCTGCATTAAATACCTTGTAGTTTGAAGAATCAGTTTCCGTTTTCCTGGCTAGACCCTGATACATGATCTTATGAGTTCCTGAGAATTTCAGCCCCCTCCTTCAATCAGAGTTTGTTTACACCTCTCAAGAAAAGTATAACATTAATTAATTTGAAAGCAATTCTTTTTATTTTCTTATTTTCACTCAACTAGTAAAAAGAGAAAGAATAATGAGCATGGAACTATCTAGAAGTAGAGTATGAAAAAATAAAGAGAAGACAAAATACAGTCTAGCTATTTGTTAAATTTGATATTCAGATATCAAACATGAAAATAAACAATAACGGATTGGTCAGATTAGAGGAAGAGCCAATTGCTGTTAATCCAAGACATTATGGAAAGCAGCATAAGTAAAACTACTTTATGTGCTTCTGACTGCAAAGCAGAACTGTTCTGAAGTATTGAGGTGACATATTTTGGTTATCATCCTGCAGGGCACGAAGGAGACCCCTGCCTGCGATCATCAGACTGCATGGAAGGGTTTTGCTGTGCTCGTCACTTCTGGACCAAAATCTGCAAGCCAGTGCTCCATCAGGGGGAAGTCTGTACCAAACAGCGCAAGAAAGGTTCTCACGGGCTGGAAATTTTCCAGCGGTGTGACTGCGCAAAGGGCCTGTCTTGTAAAGTATGGAAGGATGCTACCTACTCCTCCAAAGCCAGACTCCACGTGTGTCAGAAAATATGATCACTTCAGAGAAAATGCGTCATGAGCAGACTGAATCTGCATTTAGTGCATCACAGCACAGTGGGAAATAGGATTTGGCTCTCAGAAGAATGGCTAATGTAAGGCATGTGATAAGAATATGAATCACAGAGCGAGAGAAAGAAAAAGAGAACTAAGTCTATTGGAAAGGGTGACGAATGTAGTACAACTAGTGTGTTTCCATTATGCAGCTTGTTTATGTAAATAATGTGCACACTTGTGAAAATGCAATTACTAAAAAAAAGAAAGTACAGTGAAAATCACTGACCATGTGACTTCTCAAGAGGTTAGGCTGTGCTGCAGGATCGGTTTCCTCCAGATAGGAGGAGATTGTTAAAATAAAAGCCATATTTCTATTCCAAGTTATAGTTTGATAAAACACTCCCAGTGTATCTTGGTATACATAGAATGTAAAACATGAAAAAAATGTTAAATAGGAAATGAAGCAGAGTTAATTTGTAACACAGATCACCGTTTAATTTGAAACACTGCTTTTACTGTTCAATTAAAGGCCTTGGTACACACACACACACACACACACACACACACACATAGAATGTAAAACATGAAAAAAAAAGTTAAATAGGAAATTAAGCAGAGTTAATTTGCAACACAGATCACCGTTATTTTGAAACACTGCCTTTATTGTTCAATTAAAGGCCTTGGTAGACACACACACACACAGAAAGCAGTTGATACTTTCCAAATAATTTCAAAATAATTGCAGGTCTTCCATCAAGGCCTTTACAAAAGAAAAAAAAACCTTGTTTTTCCTCAAACTGCTTATTTGTGTTTTCCAATATTTACTTTCACCTATACGTAATCAGAACCAGCATAACAAGACAAAAGTAGTCCATTCAGATTTTCAAGGGACATTGTTTCATCTTTCTAGATTGTATGTGACTCCTACCATGAATACATGTTATTTTCCAACCTAACCCCAGTAGTTGTGTAAAGCGCAGAGAAGAATTTTCACAGATTACCAATCTTTTTAAGATAGCCAAAATGTATGGGAAACCAAGCTAATAGAGAGATCATTACTTTTTCAGGCTTCGGCATTCCCTGAGTGTTGATAGCATTAGACTGGTAAGCACACGTATTCCTTACGTGCTCTGCAGTGCGGCGGGGTGAAGCTGAGAATGCAGACCGGAGCTGCATCTGTCCCGCACTGAAGCCAGCGAGGAAATGGGAGAAACGGTTCAGTATCCAGGTTTGGGCAATACATAGACATGTCTGAAGCACAACATGACTTTTCATCTTTGAATCCAAGGCTGCACAACCTACGTGGAGCTTTCTATGCGATCTGCGATCTCAAAATACTCACCACACAAATGATAACAGTGTGAGGTCACTACTTGACCTCAAAATATATGTTTTATACATTTGAGGTCCTAAAGTAATATGAGGAGTTCTCAAAAAATGAACTCTCAAGACAGGGAGTACATAGTAAGGTTCCATTGCCCTAAATAAGCTTCTAACTGGCTGGTAGCAACATCTGATTTTTATGAGAATAAATTTTAAGATCTACATATTGCTAACCTATAAAAAACACAGGTTCTCCATTCTTTGAAACCATTTTATATTTTTTTTACTTTATCACTTCTAAACATTATGTCTAAAGCATAAGGTAAAAATTTATAGTTGTTACTTTTGACCTTTTCTTTTATAAACTTAAAGTCACTCCTTAATTTTATTTTTTTACTTAACGTATCTTTAGTCTCAAATTCAAGTTCTCCCAGTAGAAATTGAACCTGAGCCTGCATGTCTATTAAAAATTTAAGCTTCCCACACACGTTTACTAGGATAATTAAGATTTACGTTTCCTCCATATGTCTGTGAAAACAAAAATTTTCAAACTAACCTATTCAATAACCAAAGCCTGTACAAACAGGATTCTACACGCTTGGCAACATAAAAATTGAGCATTTCAGTCAAATGTTTCCTATGTAACAATTACATTTACAATCTGGTTTCTGCATTATTTCCCTTCTGTACATCCCTTCAAAAATTATTATTTGAAGTAATTTATTTACAGGAAATGTTAATGAGATGTATGTTCTTATAGAGATTTTTCTTACAGAAAGCTTTGTAGCAGAATATATTTGCAGCAATTGACTTTGTAATTTAGGGGGAATGTATAAATAAGATAAAATATATTAAATTTTTCTCCTTCAAAAATTGAATTTAAGTATCTCTGTGTTTTTCTTATGGGAGAAGTTTTCATAGAATCATAGATTTTTAAAGTTCAACTGGACAGGGTCTTATTTTTCAGTCTGAGTAGAAATCCTTTGGACAACATCACCATAAGATGGTGCAAGGCAGCTCACTGTTATTGAAGGTAGCTTATTTCATGGCATTATAGCTGTAATTGTTAGAAATTTATTTTTTCAGATTATGTTTTCCACCCATTTATTCCTATTTTTGCTTTTTGGAAGATCTTATAACAGGGACTCTCTACAAACTTCTTCAAAACTCTTGAAACCACCACCTAGCATATTTCTTATAATCGTCTCTCCAGGTTAAATTTTTTTCAAAATAGAAATGCCAGCATGCTTAGGATATTGGTTCATTCTCCTGTGGTACAAAGAAGATACAAAATATATTTGTCCCTGTATGGCTACACTGATTACCTGGCCCTGAGTGAACTCCAACCTACTTCCTGGGAAGGTCTTTCCTCTGCTTCCTGAACACCGAGATGTCAGGAAGTACTCACCAATCATAAGACCAGGAGTAGTTGTAAGAGCCCATGTTATATTGGAGATGGTAATGGGCTGAAAATGTGGAAAAATAAACATTCTGTGACATAGTGGAACAGATTAAGTATAGCCATGGCAGCTTGAGGAAGCTGAAACAGTCCCATAGCTACAGGTCAGAGTTGAAGATACCTCAAGCACTGCTGAAGTAATCCCCACATTACTAATTATTCACTTAAGTGTATTTATAAATAGTTAATCTGTTTCCTCAGAGTCAGAATATTTATATTTCCCAGATGCAGTGTATTTTATACTATAACAATCATATGTGTGTCATTTTTTTTTCTTCTCCATTGAGCTCAGTGAGAGGCTTTGAGAAGTGACAAATTGTTCTAACTTCTTTTTTAACCAAGAAATGAAATGTCTATTGTAGCCTTTGGATTTGAGGAAATAATCAATCACAACTTTCTCTGTCCCCAAACTAAGGCCATTTGAGAAAAAGGTTAAGATAGAAAGGCAGATGATGGCAGATTATCCTGATAAAGTTAATATTGGAGAATGTGGGGTGTAACTGTGGGCAGAAAGACACCAAAAAGAGACAGAGTCTGTGCCCATCCTCAAGCAAGACCAGACAACACAAGTTCTACCTGTGGGAGGTGCCCCTATAAAATTTACAGCATGGATAGGCAGAGCAGAATGAAATACTGTATTCTGGCAGTTAGTGCCAAAGAAGAAGGGTGGGGAAGGCATGGAACTCTGTATTTCTCATTCAAGAATTTCATTTGAAATTCTACAAAAAATCAACTGAATAAAAAATCTGATGAACAGAATAAACTGGTGAATATAATAGAATTAGGGGCATAGAAAGGGAGTGGACTGACAATTCTCAGGGGGCGGGGGTGTGGGGGGTACAGGAAGAGACTGGATAAAAATCGTACACCTATGGATGAGGACAGTGGGGTGGGGTGGGAACCGAGTGGAGGGGAGCTATGGGGGTAAAAAGAGAAACAACTCCGAGTGGAGAGCTATGGGGGTAAAAAGAGAAACAACTGTAATAATTTGAACAATAAAGATTTATTTTAAAAAATCAATGGAAAAATATCCTCGAGTGAGGATAAAAAAAAAGATGAAAAATATGTATAATTTATACCACATGAGATGGAGAGAGACAAAGATAAACTCTGCATTAAATAACATTAAGAGTTAGAAATTACCCCCCCCCATATCATTCCCAAATCTATATATTTTAACCCATTATACATAACCATTTATCTATGGTGAAGATATGGGTTTTAACCCAATCTGATCAGTTATCTCCTAAGGCAGTATCTAAGGAGGTCATTCCCCCAATGCCAATCACTCTTTCTATATGGCTCCTCTCAGAATAAATGGTAGGGAATTATTTTATCTCTCCAAAATTGAAAAATGGATGAAAATAGTTCATTAATTCAATTGACTCCAAGATCACACTATATGCAGAACTGGAAAATAACTCCTCTTTCTTTTTACCATCCCAAATTAAGTTTACCATCGTCTCTAACACAGTCTATCAGAGGTTCTACCGTGAGATTAAATGACACACTGGATATCTGATAAAATGTATAAACACACTTCAATCATAAAACTGCCCCAATTTTGAATATCAATTATCTTTAAAATTCTTAGAAGAAATTAAAGTACACAGTTTAAATTTTAACTTGCATGTTAAAGATAAATAAGTTGAAATAAAAAAGTTAAAGTCTATATTTGTTATCTTTCTCTTTAGAATGTGTCCAAAAAAATGAAGTTCAAAATCCTCAAGTTGATGGCTAGAGTTTTCTGCCTTTATTCCACATTCTGCTCTGTTTTCACCAGAGGGATTCTTGATATCTGGGAAAAGTCAAACTCCTTCAGCAGCTATGGCCTGGACTGTATTTCAATGGAATGACAGACTTCGTTTTTAAAAAACGTCCAATGAATTTTTAGCATACACAATAGTAAGCCAAAGATTTCACCACATTTAGGAAACATGCCAATCTCCAGTTCTTAGAGTAGGTACCTTAGAAAATGTGCTAGGACATGGTGTTGTCAAAAACCATAGCAGAGATGCTTGACATCTGAGTGAAGGAAGGTAGATGGAGGAAAATCTTTGTTTTGGGAATGCTAACAATTTTTTAAAAATCCCAACAAGCTGGCTGAAAACCATGACCTCTGTACTTAAATTTACTTGAGAAAAAGGTTACACCAAGACTTTAGCTATGGCACTAAATTTTACCAAAGGTGGGGTGGTAGGAGAATCCACTTGTGTGTTCTACCTACTTTTAGAGGGTGTGAGGCATTGATGCCTTCATGTAAAACTGGTCAAGTTTAGAAATTCACCATGGTATTAGACTTATCGGGGCTTCTTTCTTATGTACCTAACATAGTCAAAGCAACACCAGTGCTTAACTGAGAACAGGTATGGTTTGTTGATATGACCGCCACAATATCTTGCAAGCTAACTTTTTAGGGACACGACACAGTGGCTGCTTCTACTACTTCAAGCTGTGGAATTACTTACTTACTCCCTCATCCCCACTTTTCTTCTAGAAGCGCATCAGCGGATTTCTGAAATAAAATTACTACTGATACTTACAAAACTATTTTCAGAAAGGAGCAAGAAGACACTTCCAACTTTTCTTCACTCAACACACACTCACTGAGAGCACCTTCTATGTGGTAGGCAGCTTTGTAGGCACAGTGAGTAAAAGCAGAGAACCATACCAATAAAGTTCGCTTTCTCACTATTTTTACATTCTAGTTACTTTTTAGAGCAATATCTAGGAGACATAAAATAACTAGATAACTGATAAATACTGTAAGAGATATAGAGGAGCAC